AGAGTTTCGAAAAGTCCCTTTCGACAACTTTGTCCCCGCGGGAGGCGAACGCCCGTGTCACCGAGGTTTTCTGCGTCCCCCTTGCAGGACACGATTCACCAGCTGGAAAACGAGCTCAGAGGAACGAAGTGGGAAATGGCACGTCACTTGAGGGAATACCAGGACCTCCTCAATGTCAAGATGGCCCTGGACATTGAAATTGCTGCATACAGGTACAGTAGGACCGTTGCAGACACGTCTGGAATATTAATAGCACTGCAGATGCTGCTGGCTGGGGGAAGCTTTACCACAGATAAGAAATACCTGCTTGCAGTGAACGCGAGTGAAATTAGAGCTTGACTAAATCATTGCAGCAGTGAGAACCCAGAAGGTCATTAGGGACCAGCTAATCAGTGGCAAAGCTCCCAGCAAGCCCCGTGGGCACAGGACGGCAGTGACTCAGTGCAGTGGCACCCCTGTGCCGCATTCTGTCCTTGGCTGCAAAAACAGAAGATGCAGCAAAAGACGGGTTTATTTTTAATTCCTGTTTGCTTTGCATATGCCAAGCGAGCCGCGCTTGTCACTTGAATTCCCTTTTATCGCCTGGGAGAGACAGGGCACTTGCTTGATCATGGTTTCAAGCGGGGAGTGCTAATCTGCCTGTCACAAACACTTTTGCTTTTCTTGCTCAACTTTCCTTCAGAGGCACCCGCTCTGATCTGCAGCCGAACGTTGCTTGCTGTTGCCATCACCTGGCAGGTTTTTTTAGTCTCCTTTGTGTCTCTTCAGAGCTCTCATCGGAGAGCTGCTGATCTTTCTGGGTCACGGGCTTAGATGACAAACGTGCATTTGAACAGAAGAAAAGTAAAAACAAACAGAAAAAACCACCAAACATCTCCAGTTCTGTTTAAATTCCCGAGGTTGTTCAGACAGACACACACAGACACCAGGGTCTACAGCTGGCTGCTGCCAAAGTTAGCTGAACCAAAGTCTCCAGCCCTCATATTCACCCAAATTACTGAAGCAGGACATGGGCTCTGATCAGCTCTGAGGGGCTCAGCCACGATATTTGCTTTGGGTCTGTTGGCTGGGTCTAATCCTGTTTGCCTAAGTCATGATGCATCCCATGAAGTTGGTTATTTTGCTGATTTGTGCCATCATTAATTTTTTTCGACCTTTAAGGCTGAATTTCAGCTGATCCCTGAAGGTGTGACCCCTGCACTGTGCAAACCAGGCTAAAGGAGCTTTTTGCCAGGCTCCAGGAAAGCTGGGCTGGGGCTGTGAGCCGTGGATCGTGCTGGCCAGTTCCAGCATGTTCCACGTGCAAACTGCCTCCATCCTGCTGGCAGGGAGATGTTAGAGAGTCATGAAAGGGTTTGGGCTGGAAGGGATCTCAAAGACCAACTTATTCCACCCCCCTGCCAGGGCAGGGACACCTTCCACTAGCCCAGGTTACTCCAAGCCCCATCCAACCTGTCCTTAAACACTTCCAGGGGTGGGGCAGCCGCAGTTATTCCAACAGCTGCCCCTTATGTTGGGTTTTTATGCTCACTTCCTTGTTTTTTTTCTCCTCCTGATCCCCTTAGGAAGCTACTGGAGGGTGAAGAGACAAGATTCAGTGCCTTCTCTGGAAGCATTACCGGTCCCATATTCACACACAGACAACCATCTGTCACAATAGCATCCACCAAAATCCAGAAAACAAAAATTGAACCGCCAAAGCTGAAGGTCCAGCACAAGTTTGTAGAAGAAATCATCGAAGAGACGAAGGTGGAGGATGAGAAGTCTGAAATGGAAGATGCCCTGGCAGCCATGGCAGAAGAAATGGCAGCCAAGGCACAGCAGGAAGAGCAGGAGGAAGAAAAGGCAGAAGAAGCAGCTGCAGAGGAAGAGGCTGCTTCTGAGAAAGCAGCTGAGGAAGAAGAGAAGGAGGAAGAGGAAGCAGAGGAGGAAGAAGAAGCTGCGAAATCTGACGCAGCGGAAGAAGGTGGCTCCGAAAAAGAAGAAATCGAGGAAAAGGAAGAAGGGGAGGAGGCCGAGGAAGAGGAGGAAGAAGCTGAGGCCAAGGGCAAGGCCGAAGAGGTGGCAGCAAAGGCAGAGAAGGTCAAAACACCTCCCTCAAAGTCACCCCCTAAATCCCCCCCTAAATCCCCCGTAACAGAGCCGGCCAAGGCCGCCCCGAAGGAAAAACCCGCGGAAGCGGCGAAGGAAGCGAAGGTGGAGAAAGCTGAGAAAGCAGCCAAAGAGGAGGAGAAAGCAGCATCCCCTGAGAAACCTGCCACCCCAAAGGTAACCTCCCCAGAGAAACCTGCCACCCCTGAGAAAGCTGCCACCCCGGAGAAGGCGGAGAAGGGGGTGGCCCTGGAGAAGCTGACGCCGGAGAAGTTGCGCTCCCCCGAGAAGGCGGCGAGCCCGGAGAAGCCCCGCACGCCCGAAAAGCCTGTGAGCCCCGAGAAACCCCGCTCCCCAGAGAAACCCCACTCCCCAGAGAAACCCCACACCCCAGAGAAAGCCCCCTCCCCAGTCAAGGATGCCAAGGCTGTGGTGGAGGAGAGCATCACCATCACAAAGGTCACGAAAGTCAGCGCCGAGGCCGAGAAGGAGTCCAGGAAAGAGGACATCGCGGTCAACGGGGAGGTGGAGGACAAGAAGGAAGAGGAGTCCAAGGAGAAGGAGGAGGAGGACAAGGGGGTCGTCACCAACGGCCTGGACGTGAGTCCCATCGAGGACAAGGGGGAGAAGGTCGTGGTGACCAAAAAGGTGGAGAAGATCACGGGGGAAGGAGGGGACGGCGGGCCCACCTTCGTCACCAAGTCGGTGACCGTCACCCAGAAGGTGGAGGAGCACGAGGAGAGCTTCGAGGAGAAACTGGTGTCCACCAAGAAGGTGGAGAAAGTCACCTCACATGCCGTAGTAAAAGAGATCAAAGAGACCGAATAAAACAAAAAAACGAGCCCAACCATAGCTGAAATCTCAACCAAATCCAAGAGCTTGGGTCGGTGCAAAAGGTTAAGCCATATGACAGCTGCCAAATGCATGTGAGTGACGGCTTCAAAGCAGAAAAAGCAGAACGGGTTCTCTCATGGAGGCTCCAGACACACAGTATTTTACTTTTTTCGTGCAATATAGGGGGGAAAAAAA